AGCAGGGAGGAGGGCCCTGCGGCACATGGGGCAGGGGACAAGGACCTCCTCACTTGTGGGACTTCTTGGTGTTGGCCCCGTCGGGGCCCTCGCCGCAGTCGTAGGCCTGGATGGTGAAGGTGTGCTCCTTCTGGGCCTCGCAGTCCACAGGCTCCTTGGCCCGGATCAGCCCCTCTCCCGTCGCCTTATCCAGGATCACGGCCTCAAAGGGCACCCCAGACCCATGGAGCCGGAAGCCGCAGATCTCACCTGGCCAAGGGTGCGGGGAGGAATAAGGCTCCTGTGCCACCTGCCGCATCTCCTTCCCTCCAGCGGCCACCCCACCTGGGGCCAGCTCCGCCTCTCCCCCCAAAACCCCTGTCCCTTCTCCTGCAGGCACAAAAGCATTAACTATCAAACGTACAACTCCAACCCAGCTTCCCTGAGCAGCAACCTCTCAGAGCTTCCAGGCCTGAGATCTGGCAAAACCCTGATGTGTTTAACCCCTGCCTGCCACATCCTTCTCTCTGGCATCTGTGGCTCAATCTCCAGTCTTCAGTGGAGCCCATTCCCTGCCTTGAGCCCAATTTTCTACTTTCCAACGGCCACGTCCCCACTTTCTCAGTGCTCCCAGGACCTGCCCTCCATCCCTGCTATCAGCCCTCCACCTACTTTTCTCTTACCTTCCCTGCCTGGCCGACCCTCACCCCCAATTACCTGCATAGCGCAAGGGGGCATCCTTATCCAAGGCAAAGAGTGGTGGGTTCAGCAGGACTGTGTTGTCATTCTCCATGACGATGCCCTGGTATTCTGCCTCGATCCATGGCTTATGCTTATTGGCTGGCCCCGCCCCAGGAAGAAGAGAGGAAGCACCTGTGAGCAGGACCGCCACTGGCTAGACAGTCACACCCAGCACCATCACCCTTTCCATCCCTGCAGGAGCACCTCGCAGGAGGGAGGGATGAGAACAAGAAATCCACTACTAAGGGAGTCCATGGGTCTGCAGGAGGTCCCAGCCTTCTCCTATAGCAGGATAGATGGTTTCCATGGCAACAGCCTGCCCTGAGGAAAAGAGGACCACTCTCTCCCCTGGAACCATAGTGGGGTGCATGGAGAATCTTCCTTAGGGACTTCATGTGCTGGAGAATGGAGACTGGGAACTCAGGGAGCATTAGGGGATGTCAGAAGGGATAGGTTAAGGGCAGAGTCGAAACTAGAAAAAGAAGATCTAGAAGTTTCCTGAGATCCTAATTGTTTATCCTCCTCCCCATCCCATTTCTGCACTTCTTCCAGCGAAGCCCCAATCTAAGGCCATTCCCTCAGAGCAGAGGAAGAGGAAGAGGAGAGAGTAGAGAAGAGCAGATATATAGGACAGAGGGAGGGGGACAGAGAGGGGCAGGGATGGAGCAGAGGAATCAACGCCAAACGACTGGACCCAGCAGAGCCGACATCCTGAGGGATTAAAGAGCTGGCCTAGAAACACGACCAATCCATTCCCTGCTTCCCGCCCCCACACCCAAGAGACCACATTCAAAACCAGCACATTTCTGTGTCCTCTGCAAGGCCACTAAACCCCACACCCCCTGAACCCCACTATATACACAGATTTTTGCCTTAATCCCAAATCTTGTCTACCGCACCCCTCCCCTTCAGCCGCCAGCCCATTTGGGCTGGATGTGGGACCCACTCGGACTCCGGATCTCCCCGTCTCCTCCCCAGGCCCAATGTCCCTCTAGCCTGGTGAGGGGCTGCGGGGCAGCACAGCACGTTCCCCAATTCCACATCAGCCCAGCCCCAACCTCCACTGCTGGCTCCATCTAATCCCACCGTGCCCACACCCAGGCTCCCCAAGCACATCCATGACAGCATCAGAGGGAAACTGAGTCACCAAAGGGCACCTCACCCCCAGTATCTCATGAGGAGCAAGAAATCCTGACGTCCACCCTGCCCTCCAGTCACAGCCCACGAGCCTGGCATCTAAGGCTTCACTCCTGACGACCACCAAGACCCCTTCCCCAGTGGCTGCGGAGAGAGCCACAAGATGGTGCACAGGAGGCAGCACAGGAAGTGGCAGGAGGCTGAGGACCAGGCTGAGGTCAGAGACTGAGGTGGGAGCCCCAGCCAGCTGCGGATAGAGGGCAGGGCCGGGCACCTGCTCCATGGCTCGCCCCCACGCCCCTGCTTCCAGCCGGGATCTCTGAGCCTCTGCCTCCCCACTCCTGTCCCCTCGGCCCCTTCTGTCTCTCTGGGTCCATTCCCTTTCACACACTCCTGGGTTTCCTGTCTCTTCCTTGGCTCTCCCCGTCCCTACCCACTTCTCATCTTTTTTCCTGATTTTCCTCTCATGCCTCCCTGTTTTCCAGCCTCCACCTTTACCCTCTCCCGTCCCCCTCACCCCCTCCCACGCCTCACCTCCCAGCTTCCCCTTCTCAGCTTGCCCTCTCACCACTTCTTTAGCGCCCCCCACACACCCACTTCTGCCCTTTCCTGCCTAGCTCCACCGTCTCCACCTACCTGAGCCCTCTGCCCCAAGCCCTTCCTCCCTTCCTCCCCCTGGCAGCCTCGCCCAGCTGAATTTATCTGCTATCTGCCAGAGAGGGCAGCTCCGGTAACCCACAGCCCAGCTGATGCAGGCATGAGGGTATGAATGCAGAGGAACACGAAAAACATACGTGCTCCGAATTGCTGACCGCAATGAACAGTTTCTCCCCAGGATGGGATGGAGACGAACCAGACGCATCTGCCACACACGCTTAGCACGAGCCACCCGGGTGGAAACGGAGAACCACTGAGAGACGTACATCACTCCCTCAGGCGCTAGTCCTTCTGAGACCCCAGATAGCTACCAGGGTGGAGGAATTGGGGGAGGGGGGAGACAGAGACCCCAGAACAGAAGCAAGATGACCGACAAGAGAAGCACATGGGTAGGATGGACCAGAGAGGAGGATGCGGCCAGCGGGGAGTGAGGGAGAGCAGAATGGAGCAGAGCTGGGAAAGGATGGGAAGGCGGACCACCGAAAGAGGAAGGGATCACCTGTCATGTGCCAGGCAGCCCCAACACCTCGTTCTACCCCTACGCCAGTCCTCTGCCCGGTCCCTCTTCCAGAGCCGCCACCCCCACCTCGCTCACCTTTGTTACCGGAGCAGGACGGGAGCAGGGAGGCCAGCAAGAGGGGCAGCAGCGGGAGCGCCATGGCGCGGAGCGGGGCAGGGCAGGGCCGGCGACCCTCTGCCCCGGGAGCCTCGAGCCCGCTTATTCCACCCTGGGGTGGGGGTGGGGGGTCGCAGGGGTTTTCCGAGGAGAGGAGGGAAGGCGGAGGACAGCAGGGCGGTGACAGAAAGGAGCCTGCTGCCCACACTAGTCCGCAGAGCAGACGCGGGCAGATCCCGGTCTGGGTGACCGAGCCGGGGACTTGCAGGGGCTCCCGGTTCCCTCCGAACCCAGCGTCTTCACTCTCACTCCCACCCCATCCCCGCTACTGCAGGATGACGTCAGCACAGCCCGGCAAGCATTGACGGGGCCGCTGGCCAATCAGGGGGCTGGGTGGGCCAGGTGCCGCAGGGGGGCAGGGAGCCAATGGGACTGGGGGCGAGGGGCGGGAGAGTGTTAGGGCTTTTTCCCCTGACTGCAATTTGGGGGAGCAGAGGAACTGCGGGGGCCGGGGAGGAAGCCGGAGAGCCACAGAGGGGGTGGGAAATAAGAGGGACATTGGGAGAATGGAGAAGCTAGAAGCCAGGGGGCGGGCAGGGGAGACGTCAGTGGGGACCTGAGGGCGGGGAGGAGAGGCAGTATCCACGTCACCCCGCCCCCCGACTCTGCATTAGCCTCTTTTTACAGCCCATTCCATCAGCAAGCCCCTGCTGCGTGCCTTCTGGGAGCTGTGAAGTAAAACCCTCAGTCTGAGAAATCCTGGCATTTCAGTGCCCAGCCCAGGTCTCTGAGGAAGTCAAAGGACGGTCAACAGGGCCATGGGAGGGCTCTGGGACTGGAGAAAGGGTGATATTTGTGCGCCCTTCACACACACAGGACACCTGTCAGGACAGTCCACCACCAGCTGGAATGTCAGGCCCTGTTTTCCCACTGCCTACCCTCCCTGCCTTCCTAGGCCCAAAGTTCCCACCTTAAACCATGATGAACCAAGCCCAGTCGATTCTGAAGCCCGGGAAGTTGGCAGGTTTGAGAGAGAAGAGGGCAGTTGGAGGCAGAGCACACAATAATTTAGGCGCCCCCATCCCACCCTTGCTGGAATACCTCTGGAAAGCATGGGCTGTCTGTCTAAGGGCTGGGGCAGGGGGCGATGGTATCATCGATGACTCAGAGGGAGAGAAAAGCCCTTGGGTCCCAAGCCAAAGACTACAAGATTTCCACAATAGCTAACCAAACTCCTCCCTGGCCTTCAGCTCTGGACTTTGAACGTGACACCCCATCAGGCTGCTGACAGCAGCTCTGTGCTTGGGAAGAGCAGTTTCTCTGCCTCCCTCCTAATGGCCCTATAGGACCAAGAGTCTGGAATGACTGTTTGGGGTCCCAGTTCAGCAAACTGAGGGAGCTGTGGGGGCCAGGGCCCCAGGGTGTTCTTCACTGTGGCTCCTGGCCAGCTGGCTGTCCTCACCTCCTCCTCACACCTTTTAAGATCCCTGACTTAGTCCCAGGATCTCAGGATATTGTTAGAACTCATCCCCACGCCACACAGCCAGACCAGCCACTGCTGCCTCCCAGGAGAGACCGTCCCTCAGGCCCTGTGACAGTTCCCATCCCAGAAATGGGATGGGGGCCAAAACTGACCTTCAGAAAGGCTCAGGTTTTGGATGATTGATAGCCCCAGATCCTGCTCCAGGTTCCTTCCCCAGGAAAAGCTGAGGTCAAGCACAACTTTGCCAAGTCCCTGCCCCTCCTTCAGGCTGCAGACACCAGCCCCAAATTCATCATGGAGGGAGGGAGGAAGTCTGGGAGGGACTCTTACTGCAGCGGGGCCCCCAGGCCTATAAAAGCCCTGGTAATTGGCCTTTCCGCACTCCTTTCTGTGTGTGTGGGGCTGGCCTGGAGTCCCTACCTCAACCTGCCAGACAACTCCCGCTCCCTCCTCTGCCTGTCCTGTCTTCTCCTGAAACCTTGATCTCCATCTCTCTGCCGGCCCAGACAATGCCTCCCAACCTCACGGGCTACTACCGCTTTGTCTCGCAGAAGAACATTGAGGACTACCTGCAAGCCCTGGGTAAGGCCTCGCCCTCCCAGACCCCTTTTGCTACCCCCTTCCCTTTCTCTTCCTGCTTCTTGGCCCCATGGAGAAGGGGGAATGCGGGTTGGACATTGTGGAAAGGCTAAAGCAGGTGGCACCTGCCTTGTGATCCATTTCTAACCAGGGGCATTGCTAGGAGGGGGTAAGTGCACAGTCCCAGACCCAACTAAGGGAAAGCTCACAGCCCTGAGGTGCCATTACAGATGGGGCAGCTCCGGGCAGGGGGCAAGGCCCTCACTAAGAGATGGCCCCCCCGCAGACATCAACGTGGCTCTGCGGAAGATAGCCCTGCTGCTGAAGCCAGACAAGGAGATCACCCATCAGGGTGACCACATGATAGTGAAGACTCTCAGCACCTTCCGCAACTACGTTCTGGAATTCGAGGTGGGAGTTGAGTTTGAGGAGGACCTGAGGATCGTGGACGGACGGAAATGCCAGGTACTTTTCCTAAGGCCGGGGGGCAGTGGCGTGGTCTGAGCAGGTGCCTCCTAACAATCTGGGGCAAAACAAAGTGACTTCTGCTGCGAGAGCCAGGGGAAATGATCACCACAGCAAGCCATGGGGTCCCCAGGATACCAGCCTCTGGGACTAACGGGTCCTGGTGCT